TGAGCGTCTCTCGTCTGTGACTCAGAAGGAGCGAGACACAAACAGTGGGTCTGAAACACACCGAAGCACAAATGTGGATTTAACAACGACTTGGACAAGAAATTCTTTTTTTTCCAGGATTTCCATGAGCGTGGGAACTTGTATAAAGTGTTTAACTGTTTTTAAACTTTCTGTGAAAATTTGAGGTTATTTCAACAAGAACTGACAATTCTTGACCTGTGAAGTGTCAGATTTTTTTGAGATACTCTGCATTTTAAATCTAAAGCACCTCCTGCGTGAGACTCGACATAAAACTATTCAGGATTTTATTTATTTTTTAGTATCGACCTTCTCAAGTGAGCGTCTTGTTTTGTTCAGTCGACTGTTTCTCCTTCTGCCTGTTCGATGTTTAACCGTGACTCGTGTTCTGTCTCTGTCTTCAGGTGATCATGATCACCACGCCCACCATCATGTACCTGGGCTTCGCCATGCACAAAATCGCCCGCATGGACGACGACGACTACAAGCCCAACGCGAGGAAGAGGATGCCGATGGTGAGCAGAGGAGCCAACCGCGACTACGAAGAGGCCGAGGACAACGGCGAAGAGGACCCCATGATCCTGGAGGAGATCGAACCCGAGAAGGAGGTCAAGGAGAAGCCCAACAAGAAGGTCAGAGGACTTTTAACTCTAACGGGGGGGGGCGGCACGGGGGCAACACGTGAACACATGCATGTGGGTCACGTGATCACTTTGACCAATCAGAGCGAGAGGAGCAGAGTGTAGCCAGCGCGAACGATTATAAATCTCTTTTTAAGACGACTGAAGGATTTTGAGCTGAGGAAAAAGTTTATGATCTAAAAATGGGTAAAAATCGCCACAAAATCCGACATTTTTGAAAGTTGTAGATCCTGGTCAGTCGAACACGAGACGTTTGATCAGACTGTGAAAAATCTTGTCTCGGCCCATGGGATTTTTTTCCCGCAGTAAAACCAGTGAGTGACACGACGACTCGAGGCAGAAACAAACGTCAAAACTGTATCCGGTGATTTGAATAGATCCATGAACATGACGGATGCTTCGCTGGTGTCCACGCTCCTCACGGGAAGTGAGCGAAGGCGACGTTCAGCTCGATCTTCCAGTTAACGATTTTAAACTGTAAATTTATGAAGCTGCTGAAAACACTGGACATTTACACGTTTTGGACAATAAATTTAGTGAGAATTTTCCCCGCTGTGGCAGGATCAGATTGGTCAAAAATAGACACTTGGGACATTTCTTCAAATCAGTGGTTTTGTGTAAATCTACAAGGACACGGGGACGCGGGGACACGGGGACTAGTGTTATAACTTTTTTACAACCTCTATATCCTGTATCATATTTAGATGAACTGTTGCTCGTAATGAAAGGACCTGACCTTCAGTTGGTCAGATTGAGTCTGGGGAACTTTTTCCACAAATATGAAGTTTTGATAAAACCTCCAACAACCAGAATAAAACAGAAGGTTCATATCTGTTCAGTTGTTAAATGGTAAATGGTCACATTTTTCTATAGAGCTTTTCCACCTTCACGGCTCAAAGTGCTTTACAACAAGGAACCACTCACACAATCACTCACCCATTCACACACATTCACACACCAGTGTACACAGACACTGTGGGTAAGTGTCTTGCCCAAAGACACAACGACAGTATTCATCTGTGGGAGCTGGAATCACACCAGCAACCTGTGGGTCAGTGGATCTGCCCACTCAACCTGTGATGTTTTTTCTTATGTTGAGATTGGATTTGAACCGCCAACCTGTAGATCAGTGGGCGATGCTCAACCAGCTGAGCTACTGCCGCCTCAAATCAAATAACCAAAGGCAATTTTCTCTTTAATCACACAGGAACAAAACACATGATCAGGATAAAGATCAGATCAAAGTCCAAACATGATGATTCAGTGTTTGCGACGATGAATCGACTGGTTTAGAAAGTGAAACTGCAGTTTATTATGATGCAGAACAACTTATTATTGATCTGTTTTCAGTCACATTGACTTGTCATGGTCCTTGTAAGAACTTCGCTCGGTTTCACATTTCATTTCATCGTCTCTAATGTTGATTTAATATTTTTTTGTTTCAGGGGAACTTTTTAAAAAAGTGTTAAATGGAGTTTGGTTTCTTCAGTTATACCAAAAAGTTCATCCAGTCATGATGCAGGACTTTGATTTCTCTTGTTCCAGCATGACGGGCGGCGGAGGATAAAGCGTGACGGGCTCATGCGCGTGTACGTGTGCCACCTGTTGGCGCGCGGCGTCTTCGAGTCGTCCTTCCTGTTCGGGCAGTACATCCTGTACGGCCTGGAGGTGGCGCCGTCGTACGTGTGCACGCGCTCGCCGTGTCCGCACACGGTGGACTGCTTCGTGTCTCGTCCCACGGAGAAGACGATCTTCCTGCTCATCATGTACGCCGTGAGCGCCCTCTGCCTGCTCTTCACGCTCCTGGAGATCCTGCACCTCGGCTTCAGCGGCGTCAGAGACTGTCTGTGCTCGCCGAGGCCACGCCCACAACGCCACGACGCCGCCCAGCGCCCCTCCCTCTGCCACCAGCCGTCCGCCCCGCCCGGATACAACACCGCCACCAAGAAGGGCGGGGCCGGGAAGATGGCCTTCAGGTGAGATGTTTTTACCAGCCGGAGCTTTAAACGACTGAGCTCCACAAACGTTCAGACGAGTCACCAGAGACTTGAACATCTGCGAAAGTAAAAGTGACTGATGTAAATGTTACACGACCCGTCTTTAATCGACCTTTTTCACACGTGTCTGAAGTTTCCCGCTGTAGGTTTGTGGAACTTCTGGTTAATGGTTGAAAAAAAAGATCTAGACCCACTTTAACCGGTTCATGTCGTCTTAGTCGATTAAAGGACGTCTGCTTTATTCAGAACAGAGTTTTTAAGATTATCTGCACTAATTTGGTAATACAGGGGACGGCTTTCGTGATGGACAGTGTGTCAAATCCCTCGAGGTCCAGAAGGTTCAAAATAATTTAACTCTGATCAATAATTTGTACAAAGTCTCAGAAAATCCAGTGTTAAATGTTTGTTTTCTGATGGACGTTCACCATCTGCTCGTCTTCATCCACATGTTCCACAGTTTTAAACTTGTCCATCTCCACAACAAATGTCTGAACCACCAGGTGAAAGTTACACGTCCAAACTGTGGAGAAGCGAGCAGAAGAAGCTCATGTAACAAACGCAGGATTTTCACAAACGATAAACTCAAAAGATGAATCAACATTCTGAGTAAAGCGAGAAACTCCATGAAACAAAATGAGTCAAACTCCAGAAAAGTTACACGAGAGTTTCTGTAAAACTCTTTAATCTAGTTCCAGAGGCGTTTCTAAAACTGAGTCTTTTTTTTTTTTTCCAGAGATAACCTGGTGGACTCGGGCCGTGAGTCTTTTGGAGACGAGTCTTCAGGTCGGGAGCTGGAGCGTTTGAGGAGACACCTGAAGCTGGCGCAGCAGCATCTGGACCTGGCCTACGCCAACGAGGAGCCGAGCCCCACGCGCAGCAGCAGCCCCGAGTCCAACACCACCGCCGTCGAACAGAACCGCCTCAACTACGCCCAGGAGAAGCAGACGGCCAACACCGACAAGAGTAAGAAACACCGACATAAACCCACGAACCAACACCGACAAGAGTAAGAAACACCGACATAAACCCACGAACCAACACCGACAAGAGTAAGAAACACCGACATGAACCCACGAACCAACACCGACAAGAGTAAGAAACACCGACATAAACCCACGAACCAACACCGACAAGAGTAAGAAACACCGACATAAACCCACGAACCAACACCGACAAGAGTAAGAAACACCGACATAAACCCACGAACCAACACCGACAAGAGTAAGAAACACCGACATAAACCCACGAACCAACACCGACAAGAGTAAGAAACACCGACATAAACCCACGAACCAACACCGACAAGAGTAAGAAACACCGACATGAACCCACGAACCAACACCGACAAGAGTAAGAAACACCGACATGAACCCACGAACCAACACCGACGAGAGTAAGAAACACCGACATAAACCCACGAACCAACACCGACAAGAGTAAGAAACACCGACATAAACCCACGAACCAACACCGACGAGAGTAAGAAACACCGACATAAACCCACGAACCAACACCGACAAGAGTAAGAAACACCGACATAAACCCACGAACCAACACCGACAAGAGTAAGAAACACCGACATAAACCCACGAACCAACACCGACAAGAGTAAGAAACACCGACATAAACCCACGAACCAACACCGACATAAACCCACGAACCAACACTGACGAGAGTGAGGAACAGTGACATGACTTGTGTGAAGTTGGTCCCGTCAAGCTCCAGTCCGTGTGTCATTTGTTCATTCGTTTTTCAAAATAAAACCGAAAATAAGATGAGAAGTTTTCTTTGTCTCCAAAACCAAAATGTAAAAACTGATGATTCGGGGTTTTTTTTTTTTCAGTTTTCGATTTTGTGTTTAAATGAAGAATGGAAAAACCGATAACGGCCGTTTCCCGTTTACGTGACGTCTGGACTTGGTGCAAAAGTTCGGCATCACAGTCACAAAAGTCACGGAAACGGGAAACTGCCGTTATCCGTTTTTCTATTCTTCATTTAAACACAAAACTGAAAAAACGAATCGTTATTGTTTTTTTTCATTTTGGTTTTGGAGACAAATAATGAAGAAAACTGTTTTTCAATATAAAACCAAAAATAAGAAAATGAAAAAAACAAATGCTACAGATTAAACTCACACCTGCACAAACTTTGTCATTTGTGCTTCGATTCTGCTTCTTAAAATCTGAAGTTTAATTTTTGGCCGATGATTCAAAATGTGAAACGGCAGAAAATTAAACCAAACGTTTTTCATTTGTGTGACTTTATTTCTAAAATTGATGATATTTCCGCTCAAAACCAGTGAAGAGAAACGACCCGAGCCTGTGGAAAAGTCTCAGTCTTTAAGTCGCTTTTGATTCATTTAAAAAAAACTTTCCCAGAGCCTCGGGTCGTTTCTTCAGTTTTGTTGAGTTTTGTTGAAGTCGCTGCGTCGGCTGAACAGAAATGACCTCCACAACTTCCACAGAAAATGATTTGAGAAATAAACTCACACAAATTAGTCACAGTTCAAAAGAAATACAAATGTTTCGTATAATTTTCTGTTGTTTTTAACATTTTGAGTCATTGGTCCAGAATAAAACTGAAATTCTGGTTGTTAATAACTTTTTTATTTTTTAATACTATTTACCTGTTGGTGTCTAAAAAAATAAATAAATAAAATAAATAAAACTGGAGGATTTTCAGATGTCCAATACTCCACTGTAACAGAAACCGTACACATGTTTGTGTTCAGGGAGTGCGCCCCCTGCAGGCAGATCTGACCTGGACAAACTGAGAAATGTATTAGAACTTTTTGTCCTTTTCCAACAAGTTTAACTGAACAGGAAACTTCTTCATCCAGTTTAATTCTATAAACAGTTTTTTGTCTCAAGGTCTTGTTCCAGAACGACACCAGGATTTAACTCATTAAAACTGCTTTTTTTTCTGATCTTTCATGTTTATTCAAGGTGACACAAAATATTTGACATTTTTAAAAGTGATGATCTTAAATGTCCAGGTGTTGCTCAGTGACGTTGACGTCGTCTTTGGGACTGAACGGATCAACCTGAAAACACAACAAAAATCAAACTTTAACTATAAACGGGGTCTCACTCTTTTTAAAAACTGACATTTCCAAACTTTTCCATGACTTTCCAGCACCTACATGTGTAGAATTGATCAGAGTTTTGGGGCTAAATCTGAAACTTTAACTCTTTCCTCTCACCTTCTGGTTTGGATTATAGTTTTTGTGCATTTATCGTCTTTTAAACAAAAGAGTCAGAACAGACTCATGACCTGAACAGAAAACTGGAGACAAGGGAAAGACTAAAATTCCAGGATTTCCAGGAGCGTGGGAACCCTGGATAAAGTCTTGATCAGTTTCTGAACAGTCTGTGAAAACTTTTATTTCAATGAGAATTTCCAAAATTATTGGCAGTGTATAATTTTTGGGACGCTGTAGTTTCTCATTGACTCTGACTCTGTTTTATTTAGATCAGACATGTCCAAACTACGGCCCAGGGGCCAAATGCGGCCCTCAGACAGATTTTTCTTGGCCATCAGGCTTCCAGGAGAATTGGCCCAAATGACTTTGCATCAATTAAAAATTTACTTTTTTTGCAAGTTTTTTTGAAAATCGACCTTGATGAAGTTAATGTTTAATATTTAGTGTTTGGTTTTAAGGATCTTGGATGAGAAAAGGACTGAATCATTCTAACGTGTTAAACTTGCACATATTTCAGTGATTCTCTGTTCTGAGCGTCTGTGGCCCTCGATCGTCGCTCTGCTTCGTCTGGGTTTAGATTTGGCCCTTGATGAAAAAAGTTTGGACTCCTCTGATTTTAGATCTTTTTATTCTCCTGTTTGAGGCGTCGTCGTTCTGATCGACCACAGGGGGCGCCACGGTTTGTTTGAAAACTAACTCTGGTCATGTGTCCGCAGGTCTGCACGCGTAGCCCCGCCTCCTTCGCCGTTTAAGACTTTTGGATCAGACAGAGTTCCCCTCGTCTGCCCCAAGGCCCCGCAGGACCCACAGGACCCACAGGACCCCGGTTTGGAGCAGGCATCTCTCAGGGCAGCTAAAACCTCTCAAAACCTGAAGGACTGGAAGGAGGAGGAGGAGGACTTTGTTTTTGTGTTTTTTGTTTTTTAAATGAAGCTGTAGATTTAAACGGAGGTACTGAAGCGTCCGCGGTTCTGTCCACACTGAAGACACACGTGTCCACACGGAGACATTCTGTCAAATCTCGTTTTACGCCGTCCACACCAACACGACTTACGGTTTAAGTTTCTCTGTTCCGCGTCGTTTACATTTTGTGACGCTGTGTTTGATCAGAATTGGGCTTAAAGCTGCGCTGCGTAACATGACGGGTCAGATCTGTGGAGAGGCGTCCCTGCTCGCTGAAGGATTTACATTTTGGAGCAGCGAGCGCCTCGAACGAACGTGAGAGGATCTGTTAATGTCGTACGACTCGATTAGCAGAACCTCCACCAGGAAAGTTTCACAGTGCAGCTTTAAACGATTAATTTCTTCGTTTGTTCAGTCATGATCACGTTTATTTAGAAATCAGAGCAAAAAATCCAGTGAAAAGAGTTTACAGACGCACGGCGACTTCACGAAGCTCGAACGACCAAAACCAAGAGACAGAGTAAAGACGACTCTGAGTCGTGGTCGTCGTCGTCCGTCGTCGTCCGTCGTCGTCGTCGTGGTCATGATCCGTTCAGATCCGGTGTGTGTGTTTTGTGTCTCGGTGCGGACGCCGCGTCTGGAGTTTAAACTGTAGAATGAAGCCTTTTTTGTGCAACATAAACCTGGACGAAGCTTGAAAAACTTTGACTGAAAAGAAACGCTTTAATTTAGTTTCATCTCATTTTGTACGACTTTTTTTACTTTTGTACTTTTGATACTTTTGTACTTTTTATACTGTAAGTTTTTCTACGTGTTTTTAATAAACTTTTAGCAAATGTTCAAACTTGAGTCATTTCTGTTTCTGTTTTTTGGTTCAGATGCTGAAGAGTTTTTCCTTTACCACAAACGGAGCAGAAGTTTAGTTTTAGTTTGTCACATGTTTGAGTCTTTGTCTAAATCTTAAAATGCTCTTAAACTACCACCTTGTGATGTCATGAAGTGATAGTTTAAGTGAACAGCTCCTTTTTTCAATCCACTTTATTTCTACGTCACATTTTAGAAACATGAGATTCTGCCACAGACGAACACAAAAGAAAAGATCATAACTAAACTCAGTGTTAAAACGCATAATGATAAAAGTTAATAAATTAATATAAAATGTAATTAAATATAAATTAAATGGAAAAATAAAGAATGCATAAAGCTAAAAATAAATTAATTTAAATGATAAAATGTAAAAAATAAAATGGGACAGGAAAATGCATAAAGTTAAAAATTTATTAAAATCAAATTAAATCAAGTTAAAAATGATAAAATTCAATTGTTAAACTACAGAGACCAACATGAGTCACATTTTCTTTGTTTTGATAAAATACAGAAAATCTGCTTAAAAAGGACAAAAAATGTCAGTTTGTCTCTTTACTGTTGCAGGATCAAACTGGTCCAAAACAGAGACTCTGGGACATTTCTTGTCTAAAATTGGGACAAATCAGTGTTTTTGTGTAAATGGACAGAGACACAGGGTCTGGACTCTGTCTGCAGATGGTTTTATGGTTTTGTGATTCGACTGTTTCTTGTGGATTGTGCTGCTGCTCGTTGGTCTTGTTTCTCTGAATCTCAACGGAAACTCGAGGTTAAATAAATAAAGAGACATATTTTTATTTTACATTTTAGATTTATTGATCCACAAGAGAAATGATTTGGACACAGACTCTCACAGCACAATATATATATAATATAACAAAGAGAAAATTCTAAATAAGTTGCAAAAACCACCAGGCGTCCAGGAAGCAAGAATCTACGACTCCCTAAAGACGAACTTTTAACGTTTCCTTTTATTTTATTTTATTAGTTAATTTAGAAGATTGAGAGTGAGAACAGAATTTCATTTTTGATGTGTACATGTGGATTGTTTAAACAAATTAAAAGTGTTTTCTTGTGTTTTTATTAGTCTCGGGAGTTTGGGCCTGTGCGTCACACGGTTGCTATGGGAACAGTTACAAAACTCTATATGACGGACTCCTTCCGGCAGGCGGCGCTGTGTCCGGGTCATAGTTTTTATTTTTTAAGTTATTTATTTTTATTATTAGTGAGTTTTTACTTTTATTAGTATATTTTAATCGTATATTTATTTTTATTTGTTATTTATTTATTTTATTTCTAAAGTTTTTATTGTAGTTCTGTGTTCCGGCCTCACGGCAGCGTCGTTTCCCTGGAGACGCGCTGACGCTACGCGATGACGAGCGACGCAGTCCTCACGCATGCGCGGAGCTCTTGGCAACCATGGCGGATTGACATAGCAACGCTCCGCTTCTCCACAGACCTGCTCCTCACACCGCGGCTCCTCACACACCGCGGCTCCTCACACACCGCGGCTCCTCACACACCGCGGCTCCTCACACACCGCGGCTCTCGGCTCCTCTCCCCGCGGCTCTCGGCTCCTCTCCCCGGGCTCCTGGGGCCTGTCTCCCCGCCGCCCGGAGCCTGTCCCTCGGCCTGTGCGTCATGGACCCCGCGGTGGTGAAGCGGACCCAGGAGAGTCTCGGGAAGGTGATCAAGAAACCACAGCTCAGCGAGAAATACCTGAACAAACCGCCGTTCCGCTTCCTCCACGACATCTTCACCGAGGTAAACATCACCAAACATCTACAAAACATCTACAAAAACATCTACAAACATCTACAAACATCTACAAAAACATCTACAAAACATCTACAAAACATCTACAAACATCTACAAAAACATCTACAAAAACATCTACAAAAACATCTACAAAACATCTACAAAACATCACAAAACATCTACAAAACATCTACAAAAACATCACAAAACATCTACAAAACATCTACAAAACATCTACAAAAACATCTACAAAAACATCTACAAAACATCTACAAAACATCTACAAAACATCTACAAAACATCTACAAAACATCTACAAAACATCTACAAAACATCTACAAAAACATCTACAAAAACATCTAAAACATCTCTACAAAACATCTATCACAAAACATCTACAAAACATCTAAAACATCTACAAACATCTACAAAACATCTAAAACATCTAAAACATCTACAAACATCTACAAAAACATCTACAAAAACATCTACAAAACATCTACAAACAACATCACAAAACACTACAAAAACATCTACAAAACATCTACAAAAACATCTACAAAAACATCTACAAAACATCTACAAAAACATCTACAAAAACATCTACAAAACATCTACAAAACATCTACAAAAACATCTACAAAAACATCTACAAAACATCTACAAAAACATCTACAAAACATCTACAAAACATCTACAAAACATCTACAAAAATCTACAAAACATCTACAAAACATCTATGATCATCTACAAATATTTACAAAAAATCTACAAACATATGACAAAAACATGAGAAAAATGTGAGAAAACTAGAGCCCAATTTTATCGGCCGATATGGGCACCTAGAAATATATTGGTGATCTGCTGATATGTTTGCTGATCTGGGCGGATCTTTCCCGTGGGCAGGTTCTACGTGGTTCTAAATCTCAGACTCTCTACATTCTGTTGATTTAATCCAATTTACAGATAAATGTCCAAATATGTGACTCCGCATCAGTGTTTATCTGTGGAGTCATTTGTCTGTGTGTCTGTGTGTGTGTGTGTGTGTCGTACTGTCCCTGAACACACACAGAGTCACGTCACACACACATGTGTGTGTTTGTTTACACTCACACACACATCCAAACACTGACATTATTTTCTTTTTACAGACAATCGGTTTGAGTCTGGATTAAAAGGACATTTATTAGTTCAGACTTGTGATGTGGGAGGAGCCTGTGTGATGTGGGAGGAGCCTGTGTGATGTGGGAGGAGCCTGTGTGAGGCTGAGTGTTGAAATATGTCGACTTTGAAACTAGTTTTGGTTAGTGATGATCTGTTGTGTGTCTCACACATAAACAGACTGTTTGGTCTGTTGTAAAGTGACATTGTTCGTATATTTGTTTCTGCAGCTGCATTGATGTAAATGAGCTGTGAACAGAGGTGTGAATGATCAACATTTACACATATATTTAATTTCCACGCCGCGCAGCTGAAGACTAACAACAGTAGTTTTTTTACTCTCTAATAGTGATGAGTCGGTCACAAATGAAACGGCTCTTAGATCCGGCTCTTTGAAGAGAACAACGGGAGCCGTGTTTTCTCTTTCTCTCACTTTTTTTCTCTTCACGTCGTGTTCAGACTCGTGTTAGTTTGACAGTGACTGAAAACGAAACTTTTACAAATCTGCGTGTGCAGAGGAGAGAAAAACTTACATATTTGTCTGTAATTCAGCATAAAATAAATAAACCAGGACAAATGTTGGGCTCGAGAGACGGAGAGAGACAGAGACCGAGTCCAGACACTCAGTCCTGGTTCAGTCCTGGTTTAGTCCTTCTTGCAACAAAACAACCTGAAGAGCCGCTTGGGAGCCGAAAGAGCCGTCTGCTTTTAATGAGCCGAGCCAAAAGAGCCGCTTCTCTAAAAAGAACTGAATCCCCATCATCACTAGTGTCTAGAATGTGATGTGAAAATGTCATTAGTTCTACCTTCTGTCTGTAAATATGATGTAAAGATGCAGAAGAACAATAAATGTTTCCTAAATAAACCCAATTTAAAATCCACCAGAGCCAAACCCAAGTTTTTTAAACAATTCAAGATTTACAGTGAATTTTTTCATCACTAAATATATCAGCGATTATATCCAGATTATATCGGTCGGGCCTTGGACAAAACCTGTGGCACTCGCACAAAATATAAAACACAACAACAACAATAACAAAAGAACAATCAATACATAAAAAGAAGCAACATATGTTCTGTTCCCTTATAGCTTTTGTTTCCTGTTTATTCATATTTTTTTACGTTATACAAGGATATTCTCTACATGTGCGTCACGTGTGATTGTGATTTTACACTGTGGGTAAATCTGATCTTCACAAAAGTCGACCGCTCGTTCTGACCACACGGACCTGAAAACCTCCTGCACTCAGGTCACCAGACGCTTACTGCACTTTTCCAGATGATTTTAAAACTTTTTTTTTTTTTTTTACCACGTTTGCTGATGTGTCCTTCGCGTCTTCATGGTAACCGCTGAACATTCCGCCATAGACGCACATGTACAACTCCCCCGGCGTCTCTCGTATTTTTGTCCTGAAGGTTTCTGGTGTTTTTCAGGTGATCAGGTCGACTGGGTTCATGAAGGGACTTTACTCTGAGAGCGAGATGAACCCCGAGAACATCAAGGTCTGGACCAGGACTGGACCAGGACCGGACCAGGACCGGACCAGGACTAGACCGGGACCAGACCAGGACCGGACCAGGACTAAACCAGGACTAGATCAGGACTGGACCAGGACTAAACCAGGACTGAACCAGGACTAGACCAGGACTAAACCAAGACTGGACCAGGACTAGACCAGGACTAAACCAGGACTAAACCAGGACTAGATCAGGACTGGACCAGGACTAAACCAGGACTGGACCAGGACTAGACCAGGACTAAACCAAGACTGAACCAGGACTAAACCAGGACTAGACCAGGACTAAACCAAGACTGGACCAGGACTAAACCAGGACTAGATCAGGACCGGACCAGGACTAGACCGGGACCAGACCGGGACTAAAACAGGACTAGACCAGGACTGGACCAGGACTAGATCAGGACTGGACCGGGACTGAACCAGGACTGAACCAGGACTGAACCAGGACTAGACCAGGACTAGACCAAGATTGAACCAGGACTAGACCAGGACTGAACCAGGACTAGACCAGGACTGAACCAGGACTAGACCAGGACTGAACCAGGACTAGACCAGGACTAGACCAGGATTGAACCAGGACTGAACCAAGACCAGACCAGGTCTGGAGCAGGTCTGCAGACTCTCCCTGCTGAGCTCGTGTCTTGTGGTTCAGGAGAAGGACCTGAAGATGTCGTTCCTGCAGAAGGCCATAGACGTGGTGGTCCTGGTGACAGGTGAGCCCCTGTCAGTGAAACCCGCCCGGATCGTGGCCGGACACGAGCCGGAGAAAACCAACGAGCTGCTCCAGGCCATCGCCCGCTGCTGCCTGGGCAAGGTACGGCTCACCCACCCATGGCTCACCCACCTACGGCTCACCCACCTACGGCTCACCCACCCACCCACCCACCCACGGCTCACCCACCCACACCCACCCACCCACGGCTCACCCACCCACGGCTCACCCACCCACCCACGGCTCACCCACCCACCCACGCTCACCCACGCCCACGGCTCACCCACCCACGGCTCACCCACCCACGACTCACTCACCCACGGCTCACCACCCACCACGGACTTCACCCACGGCCACTCACCCACGCTCACCCACCCACTCACACCCACCCACGACTCACCCACGGCTCACCCACCCACGGCTCACCCACCCACCCACGGCTCACACCACCCACCCACGGCTCACCCACCCACCCACGACTCACCCACGGCTCACCCACCTACGGCTCACCCACCCACGGCTCACCCACCCACAACCTCCACAGACTCACTTGAATATTAATTATGCAAATGTGAATATTAATGAGACAAACGTGAATAATAATGAAGTTAAAGTGAATAATAATGAAGTTAAAGTGAATATTAATGAGGTAAACGTGAATATTAACGAGCTGTTGGCGCCGGCGTGTTCGTCAGCGCTCCAGTGAAGACGCCGTGAGGAGCGTCCTGTCAGGAGACAAACCGGGAAGCAGCTCCACACCCTCGGACAGAGTAGACGCGTCCAGACCAGAGGTGAGGAGGACGAGGTATAATACTCCCCACACAGGTATAATACTCCCCACTAACCCCCTGGTGTGTTTTTCAGGGGAGGAGCAGGAAAACGAAGACGGAGGAACCCAGAGACAAACAGAAGAACGGAGAACCTGAGCAACGACAGAGAGGACAGAAAGACAGAGAGAGAGAGAAGAGGGAGAAGACAGAGGAGAGAGAGAAGAAGAAGGAGAAAGAGAAGAAGGAGGAGAGAGAGAAGAAGGAGGAGAGAGAGAAGAAGGAGGAGAGAGAGAAGAAGGAGGAGAGAGAGAGGAGCAAAGAGAAAGCTCGCTCCACCGACAGAGAGAGGGAGAAAGAGAGAGAGACTCACAGAAAAGAGGAGAGAGAACGAGAGAGAGACAAACACAGAGAGAAGGAGAAGGAGAGAGAGAGAGAGAGAGAGAGAGAGCGCAGGAGGAGAGAGAGAGACCAGGACAGAACCAGGTCCAAACCTCGAGAAGAAGATCCTCAGACTCAGGTAAAAAACTCCAGCAAAAACATCTGAAGACCAAATCTGGAGGAACTTCAGGTTCATGTTTATGTGTGTGTGTGTGTGTGTGTGTGTGTGTGTGTGTGTGTGTGTGTGTGTGTGTGTGTGTTGTGTGTGTGTGTGTGTGTGTGTGTGTGTGTGTGTGTGTGTGTGTGTGTGTGTGTGTGTGTGTTGTGTGTGTGTGTGTGTGTGTGTGTGTGTGTGTGTGTGTGTGTGTGTGTGTGTGTGTGTGTGTGTGTGTGTGTGTGTGTGTGTGTGTGTGTGTGTGTGTGTGTGTGTGTGTGTGTGTGTGTGTGTGTGTGTGTGTGTGTGTGTGTGTGTGTGTGTGTGTGTGTGTTGTGTGTGTGTGTGTGTGTGTGTGTGTGTGTGTGTGTGTGTGTGTGTGTGTGTGTGTGTGTGTGTGTGTGTTGTGTGTGTGTGTGTGTGTGTGTGTGTGTGTGTGTGTGTGTGTGTGTGTGTGTGTGTGTGTGTGTGTGTGTGTGTGTGTGTGTGTGTGTGTGTGTGTGTTGTGTGTGTGTGTGTGTGTGTGTGTGTGTGTGTGTGTGTGTGTGTGTGTGTGTGTGTGTGTGTGTGTGTGTGTGTGTGTGTGTGTGTGTGTGTGTGTGTGTGTGTGTGTGTGTGTGTGTGTGTGTGTGTGTGTGTGTGTGTGTGTGTGTGTGTGTGTGTGTGTGTGTTGTGTGTGTGTGTGTGTGTGTGTGTGTGTGTGTGTGTGTGTGTGTGTGTGTGTGTGTGTGTGTGTGTGTGTGTGTGTGTGTGTGTGTGTGTGTGTGTGTGTGTGTGTGTGTGTGTGTGTGTGTGTGTGTGTGTGTGTGTGTTGTGTGTGTGTGTGTGTGTGTGTGTGTTGTGTGTGTGTGTGTGTGTGTGTGTGTGTGTGTGTGTGTGTGTGTGTGTGTGTGTGTGTGTGTGTGTGTGTGTGTGTGTGTGT